AATGGTTGTGCAAAGCAAAAATGCTGCAAAATGCACATCCTATTTTAAGAGAAAACAGAAAAAACAGCTATTTTTACAAAATTAGTTAAACAAGTATTATATTTCATTCAGGGACAGGGTGGTGTTATGAGTAAAAAGCCTATAGTTGAACTCCTTAAAATAATACTCTTGCTTGTCTGAAAAAAATCACAGAGCATTCCTGATCTGGAAAAGAAATCTTTCTGAGAACTGGCTGATTAAAATCAATCATGTTTAGAAGTGGATTTTAATTATAGTTTTAAAAAGGGTGCAGTTGAAGGTGCTCTTTGATCATGAAGCATATAGAGACAAGATTGTAGCAATGATACAGAGATGTGGCAAATTACAGTACATAATGGTTTAACCCTAAAATAGGCAGTAAAGCTAAATCATAAATAAAAGCAAAAGCAAAAATACTGTAAATGTATTTGAAGTAAAATTTCTCATTATAATTTGCATAACTGTTACTGTACATGGGTCTTCTCACCTGAAGCAAGTCTGATCAAGCAGAGGATTTTCAATACAGATCACGGAAAGAACCTTTACTGTACATAAAAGAGCTTTTATATGTGCAACGATTCGTTTCGTATTCAACCGGTCTGGGAGGCCAGCTGTCATCAGGGAGAGGCATTTTCCACTGCTAAGGTTTTGGTCATCAGGATCTCAAAGATAGGTGACACAAAAATAGGCCAATTGAGATACACAAGTACAGTAAGTGCAAAGTTGATTCAGGTCCATTCAAGACAAAGCTGCACATTTTTTTTCATCCAAACTCTCTAACGCATGACAATCTTGCTGTCATCTATGTTCTTAAATATAAGACTGAGGATTTAGGATGCACAACAGTGTTGCAGAGGGACAAAAAACACCTGGTATCCATGTTGCATTGAAAAAAAGCTGACCTCATCCCCACAATCCTCCTCGGCTTCAGCATCTGCTTACAACATTATAAATGTTGCAAAGTTACAAGGTGACATTGTCTGTAGTTTTAAGGCGAATGAGGTTTAGATCTTTTTCATTTCTCTGCATGCTATGGGTTCATATGCATGTCTTTCTCTAATCTGTCTGCAAAACGTATCATTAATGTTCCTTAAAACTTACTTGGCAACGTCTGTAGGACAGGATGCATGCAAAAAATGATAGCAAAATAATATTCACTGGAAAAGGCATAGATTGAAATATCGAATTGTTCAAATGAATGCTAATCAGACAGTATGATATCATTTTTAAATAAAATTTGAAGCCAGCCACCTTAAAGGAGCATATGATTTATAAATGGCTTCCAACCTAGTTTTTATATGCACATTTATATACACACTGAAAAAAAAATCTGAATGTGCACAACAGTAACAAATAAAGTTATGCCCAACATTATTAATCTGTTGACTTAATTTTGTTTGTATGCATTTTATTCAGATTTTTTATGTTTAGTGTTATATTTAATAATTAGTGTCAAATATGTGAAATATATATGAGGTGGTGTTTAGAATGCATTTTATTAATGGAAGACTACACCCAAAAATAGAAAAATTGCTTAAAATCTACTCACCCTCAGGCCATCCAAGATGTAGATGAGTTTGTTTCTTCATCAGAACAGATTTGGAGAAATGTAGCATTACATCACTTGCTCACCAATGGATCCTCTGCAGTGAATGGATGCCGTCAGAATGAGAGTCAAAACAGCTGATAAAAACATCCCAATAATCCACAAGTAATCCACACGTTTCCGGTCCATCAGTTAACATCTTGTGATGTAATGCTAAATTAATGTAAAGCTGTGATGTAATGCTAAATTTCTCCAAATCTGTTGCAATGAAGAAACAAACACATCTACATCTTGGATGACCCGAGAGTGAGTACATTTTCAGCAAATTTTCATTTTTGGGAGAACTATTCCTTTACTCTCATTAATTAAAATGAGTTAACAGTGTGGCAACTCAATGCATAAAAGCATGCAAACATGATCAAGATGTTCAGGTGTTGCTCAAATCAGACAGCAGAATGTGGAAGGAATGGTCTTAAACTATGGAATGTTTGTCATGCCAGATGGCTTCTGGGATTTTTATGCATCACAGTGTCTAGAGTTAACAGAGAAAAAAAAAGTTGGCAGCAGTTTTGTGGGCATTAAGATCAGTGGAGAATGACCAGAATCTCACAGCAACTGAAACGGCACAACATTACAACAAAGCTTAGATTAATGTGGATGGGCTACAGCAGCGAAGAACTGAGAGGCTAGTGGGCATATGCATAACAAAACTGGAAAGTTAAAAAGCGTGAATTTTTTAATTTGGCATGGTCTGACCAAGGGGTCAAAGTTTCAACAGTTAGCATGACCCATGAGACACCTGCTGGTAGATGTTGTAACTACACCATCTGGACCAAAAGCATCTTTCTTCATTTATAGTATATCAGTAAGTTGTATTTTGATAGCACTTTTCTCCAAAATTCAAGTTCGCTTTACTACAAGCATTTAAATGGATAGTCCACCCCAAAAATAAAAATTCTGTCATCATTTACTCACACTCACATTGTTCCAAACCTGTATGACTTTCTTTCTTTGGTGGAACAGAAAAGAAAATATTTTGAAGAATTTTGAATGAGAACCGAAACTTGGTTACCGACATTCTTCAAAATCTTCTTTGGTGTTCTGCAGAAAAAAAGAAAGCCATACAGGTTTAAAACAACTTAAGGGTGAGTAAATGATGACACAATTTCCATTTTTGGGGTGGACTATCCCTTTAACATTAAAGGGGTCATATGATGCTGCTAAAAAAAACATTATTTGGTGTATTTGGTGTAATGAAATGTGTTTATGCGGTTTAAAGTTTAAAAAACACATTATTTTCCACATACTGTACATTATTGTTTCTCCGCTATGCCCCACCTTTCTGAAACGCGTCGATTTTTACAAAGCTCATCGGTCTGAAAAGCGAGGTGTGCTGTGATTGGCCAGCTATCCAGTGCGTTGTGATTGGCCGAATACCTCAAGCGTGTGATGGAAATGTTACTCCCCTCACCATACTGTTGATGCCGTGTCCCGGCCGGAGCGACGAGACAAAAACATGAAAACCCATTATAAACGAGGCATTTGTTGCATCCAGTGGGGACATAATTACTGATTATAATGACTTATACTGTCTTTTTACGCGTTGCGTTGCATCGCGCCGCGTAAACATAAAACCCTGTCTGCATTTGTGATCGGTGAAATGACAAACAACAAATGCTACTCTTCTGCCCAAAACTCGCGTTTGAATCATCAGTGTCAAATCCTTTAAATGAAAACGTACTTACAGACTGTGAGTCAGAACTGCCGGCATTGTAGTCAACTCTCCCAGGATCAGTAAACAGTCCTCCATAAAATGTGCTGCACACATCTGGATTTGGGTTAAACTGTTCTGGAACAGTGTTTTAGCGTGAGCTGAGGCCGGGATAGAGTGAGCAAAGGCGGCGGGATCAAGAACGGCGCGCCCGGCGAATTCCACGAAGGAGCGGCAACCACATGTGACGACCCCGGGCTTCGTCCACGGTGAAAGCCGATCCGGCGATCCACAGCACTAAGTTGATGTATTCCCTCAGCGACCAGCACAGATCAGCTCTAGGCATGACGAAGCGGATATCGTCCTCTTTTGGAAGACCAAACAAAGTAGTTTCGCTTTCACAACGAAGCACACAGTGTCTCCACGGCATGGCGGCAGCGGCAACAATACTACAGTGAGAATAAAAGTTACGCCTTCTTTCTTTGCGTGAACATTTGGGCGGCGTTATGCAAATCTTCCCACATCGTGACGTAGACATGTGGGGGCATGTTAGAACGAGCCGTTTTAGTTAGGCGTGGTTGACTCTTAACTTTTATAAAGAATATCTCTTTGGATTTGAGACTTTAGTCTTTGCAACTTTACAGATCTTCTTTATGCACCAAGAGCTTGTAACACTCCAAAGAGAAAGGAAAAATTGAAATCGCATCATATGACCCCTTTAATTAAAACATAACCAAGAACATAAATACGTGGACAAATTCTATTCAAAATGATTAATCATCTCAGGAATGTTACTACAATAACAAATCTAATAGATATACAGCGAATTGTATACTTTATTTGAGTGCAGTAGTGTCATTAAGTGAATGTTTATGCAAAGATGCTCAAAGCCAATCAGAGCAGCTGAAACAGAAATCATAGTTCAAGGTTGATCAGATATTTGTGTTTATATAGACTAGAGAGAAACTCACCAAAGCACCGAGCTCCACAGCAGTGAAGGCCACAGATCTGCTCCATTACAGTAAGCTTTCCAGACTTGAACCAACCACTAACATTTCTTTGATGGTTAGACGGGGTTTTGGTCTTATTTATTTTTTTTGGTACATGCATGCATAATTGTTTTCAAGACATTATTTATGCAACTGTACAGTAAATGACATATATTTTAAATGCATGACAAGTAGAGCTAGTTTTTGAGCTTAACCTAGTTGTACATTTTTTGCAAGTCTGTTCTGGAGTAGGCTAGGTTCTTGTCATTGTAAAGTGGTGTATATTAACAGTAAACATGCAGATCACAAGTGCAACTCTGTTAATGAGTGATTTCAATGAACTTTGATTCTTTGCCTCATCAGTTTTTGGCAGGTCATTAACATTGTCTAGCTGTGATCTGCAGTTTTACATATGCACCATGATAAAGTGTGTTTCTTAATGATGGTGCCTCTTTATAGAGACAATATTCAAGGTACAATGTATACAGTAGCTGCTCTCTAAAGAAAAAAAAACTGTGAGAACAAAAACAACCATGGTATTCCCAGTATTTCCATGTAAAAGCTGAATATTGCATCGAAAATTTATTTTTGAGAGTAATTATATTATATTATATTATAAATACCATCTGTTACCATGGTACCATCACAATACTTTTTCTAATAGGAACAGATGTAGGTAAGTAGTCTTTTTTCCTGCATTCTTCCACTCCTTTTGTTAGATAATCATTAAATATTAATCTCTTAACTTCTTCTCAGTATTAAACATTTTTCGTTGTTTTTGCAAAGGGTTTTTTTAACGTAAGTTTTAACTGAAGCTGTACTGTATGGTTGCATTATCAGGGCGGAACCTTTAGTATCAAGCACCGGAGCGATACGGACTGTTTTTGCAGACGCACCGCTGCGCTCAGGAGAGTTCGAACAGGTAAAAGCTGCTCTTTTATAAGAATGTCGCTGTTTTATGCGTATGTTTTATGTTTTTGCTGATGGGGCCTGCTCTGATGCTGTTATAATGTTATTTTTTAGTCTCCGCTACATGCACGTATATAGGCAGATCGCATAGTCCTGTAAAGACCTTGACAGCTGTGTAATATCTAATACCATTGCTCCGGTTTAAAATGTTTACTGCACTTTGAAACGTATCTTTAAGGTGAATTGAGAGCCTGTACCAGAATATTTATGTACTTTCATTATTAGTGCTTTGAATTTGAATCATGCGTTTCCAATTAAAATTCATATTAATTTATATTCCAAAAAAAGGGCAACTCTTATGGCTGTGTTGTAATCTACGGAAGTATTTCTGTGAAAGGGTTCACTAGATGCTCTGGTCAAGCTCAGACACCTAAACGTTGTTCAGTGTAACTTGATAAAAAGGATCGACATGAAATTAAACACTCCTCAGCGTCAGACTGAAAGGGTGCAAACTTGACATTTGTAGCAATCCATTTTTTTTTTTTTTTTGCAGTTGTATCAAACAGGATGGGATGTTTTAGAGTAAAATAAACCAGCTAATACCATAAAACATCACAGAATGCATCCATTGCTACTCACTGATGTTTTCTGCTGTTGTTTTGCTTCCAAAATTATGACTTCCTGTAGGATGATTTCATTAGGACACTTATTTTTATTAGTTTAAAAAGTCTACCTAACAGGATGGAAAGTTAATTTGAGGCCACAGGAAAAACCGATAAAATGATCATGAGTTTAAACTGAAAAATATTTACAAGAAAGCACGCTTTGCTAAAAATATATTGAATTGAGATACAAAAAAATGCAAGTATTTCAGATGACCAAATTGACTTTTTTTCTAGCAGTTTTTCATGTTGGGGCTCCATAATCTACTTAAACCAATGTATGTTTATAATAAATCATATATGTTTTTATAATATAAATGTTTTTAATGTTATTGTTTTAGATTTAAAATAATATTTATAATGTATCAATTCAGAAAAAAGCCTATATAAAAATATACTTTTTCTTTTGTCTTTGTAGTTTAGGATGGCTCAAGCGGACAGCAGGGCTCTGGCTTTGGGAGTTCTGGCAGGGGCTGCTGGGATCAGCTTGGCGATTGTCTGCTTCCGCAAAATAGGAGCAGGCGGTGGCAGAGTCCTACACCTGAGCAGCAACACAGATCACACGGCAGGCAGCCTGGGTCTGCAGACGGGCCAGGCGGAGGTGCTGGATCGTCTGGGAGCTCTGATCCATTGTGTGTCTGAGCTCAAAGAGGAGGTAAAAGCCTTGAAGGATGCACTTCCACACCTGCAGGACAACGTCAGAGATCAGCTGAGGGGCCGGAGCGGGGACGATATCGCCGCTCGTAAAGCAAGTCCCCTTCATCGAACTCCCACCAGGAGAAAAAGAGCAGGTGTCTCAGCTAGAAGTGAAGGACAAAGCTCAGAAGAGGCAGAGAGTGAAGGAGGGTGAGTTTACCGAGATGCCAACCTGGCAGGTCATTAATTTTTTTTTATTCATATAAAGGCAAAAAATGCTTCCAGACAGATATTACTTAATTATATGTTTGTTTAGCTAATACACCTTCTGTCTGTCAATCATTTTGCACATTCATTATGTGGAATAACAGAAAGCATAGAAAGTAGATTTAAAAGTTTCTAAGGCTGTGTTTACTTGATCAAAAATACAGTAAAAACAGTAATACTGTGAAATATTATTACAGTTTAAAATAACTGTTCTATTTGAATATATTTTAAAATGTTATATGTAATAGGGCTGTGCAATTAATGGCATGCGATTGTCAAGCGCATCTCGTCAGTAAAGCCGGTTCCGTGATTAGTAGTAAATCGCCATCACCTGGTTTCAGATGGAGTGGCATTTACTACACAGAACCATAGTTCACTGACAAGCTACGCAATATCGCATTCATAATCGAATGCGATTCATCTGCGATTATGAACGTGATATTGTGTAGCTTGTCAGTGAACTACGGCTCTGTGTAGTAAATGCCGCTCCATCTGAAAGCTGGTGATGGCGATTTACTACCAATAACGGAACCGGCTTTACTGATGAGATGCGCATGACAATCGCATGTGATTAATTGCACAGCCCTAATATGTAATATATTATACAAAGACGAATTTTCAGCCATTGCTGCAGTCTTCAGTGTCACACGATCCTTCAGAAATCACCAGTTAAATCAAGTTAAAGCATAAAGACGGTACAAATAATAAGATTGTGAATTAAATAATTAAGAAGGATCATAAAAATAACCAGAACTTTTAAATTCCTTACAATTCCTGTGCTTATAAGGCTTCACAGGGCTTATTGGTTTATTTGAGTTCTAATACTTACATATTGAAACTATAGTTTCAATATGTAGTTTACAGTGAATTTATAACAGCTTAGGGGCGTTGTTAGGGAGAATTGATTTCATATTCTGTTCCCCCTCAGCTGTTATAAAACAGATATTCCATATACGGAGCAAGGTTTCACAAAATAAAACAAAGCAAATAAAATGTAATAATATTAATAAAAATTAGTGCTGTCAAACGATTAATCGCGATTAATCACATCCAAAACAAAAGGTTTTGTTTACATAATATGTGTGTGTGTGTGTACTGCGTGTGTGTATATATATATATATATATACACACTCACAAACAGCATATATTTTGGAAATATTTACATGCATATACATTTATATGTTTGTATTCTTATATTTTATATTATATATAAATATATTTAATATATAAACATCACATATTTTTCTTAAATATATACATTCATGTGTTTGTATTTATTTATACATAATAAATATACACAGCACACACATTTTATGTAAACAAAAACTTTTATTTTGGATGCGATTAATCGCGATTAATCATTTGACAGCACAAATAAAAACATTCTTCCGCCAAATAGTGTAGTTCCTCAGAAACGGTTGTAGTTGCAACAAAGTTGTTGCCGAGCAACACACAGATGCAGACACAAAAAGGTGTATGTTTGTAGAGTAATTTACAACAGCTTCGAACGCGGCTCAACCAATCAGAATCAAGGACCAGAACTATCCGTTTTATAATAATTTTCATTTTGATGCTTTATTTATTTATTTGTTTGTTTATTACGAAAAGCTAATCAGCATGTATTGAAAGCTAATAATAACTTATGGTTGTTGCTGGAAAATAATGAAATCAGGGTTTCAAACTGTATTTTTACATGTCCTTCGTTTTGACAAGTGCCCTCAACTAATTTTATAGAAGCTCAATTTATATGTATTTATTTTGGTATTTAGTTTTTTCACGTCCCTACTCTGGGCAAATGTAACAACTTAGAGTTGTAGAAGGATTAGAAGTGTGTGCATAGCTGAGGTGTGATTCAGTGAGAGAGCCGAGAGCGTTCCAAATCATGTGTTGTCTGTACAGACGAGGTGAACTCCACTGCCTCCAGTCATTAATTTGAACAACTGTTAACTAGATTCAGCACTAAGCACTTTACAAGTCCATTCCAGTCTCACTAAATTCTGCTCCCAAAGCCGTTCAAAAATAATCTGCTTTGTTTTCCATAGCATTAAACTTTAATTCTTGTTATTTTTGACTAGGGCTGGGTATCGATTCAGATGTTCCAATTCGATTCGATTTCGATTTTCAAGCTCTCAATTCGATTCGATTTTCGATTCGATATTAGATTTCGTTTCGATTTTTGATTTCAATTATCAATTTGATTTGGCTATATGAATGAATATAGATTTAATACAAATCCTATATTTATAAAAAATGAACAGTGAACATAAGAGCCACAAACCTGTATATTAAACACTTTTTATTTTAGGTACACTTGGGTACAATAAAACAAAACCCAACTCTATATTTCAAATGCATACAATGAATAGACAGAATTTTGATGCAAGATGAAAAACTGATGCTGAAAATTGGACAAGTCAGAACAGTCGCATGCCTTGATCAAACAGGATCAGGTTATTTTATGTTTAAGACAAAACAAACATAAAGTCTCACAGCATTAGCTGTAACATGGAGGCTGCAAGCCTATGAACGGTGTAGGAAAACTAATACTGGCTTTTGGGTGATAGTTCACCCAAAAATAAAAATTCTGTCATTTATGCATGTATGAATTTCTTTTCTTCTGTTGAACACAAAAGAAGATATTTTGAAGAATATGGATAACCAAACTGTTTTGGTCCCCATTGACTTCCATATATTTTTCTCCATACTATGGAAGTCAAGTCAATAGGGCCCATCAACTGTTTGGCATATAGCTTTGTTCTTGTCCACAGTATCTTTGTCATCGTGCTTGCGAAATCTAAAATGCTTCCATACCTCTGACTTTTTATGTGAAGTGTTGACGTCGGGAACGCACCTGAATCCGCCATTTTAAGCAATGAATGAATGAATGACGGACTCTCCGTTGTAACATCGCGCAAGGCAAATAAGGGGGTGACATCTAGTGGATTAGACTAGTAATAAGATTAACGTAAATCTTATGTTCAATGTTTGTGGAAATAAATATTGAAAAAAATTGATGCGTGGCCTTCGAGAATCGATATTGAATCGACCACATTTAAAAAAAAACGATATATCGAAAAATAAATTTTTTTGCCCAGCCCTATTTTTGACACATTATGTTCTTCAGCACCTTCAATGTCCAAAAATGATTTGTTATTTTAAGCCGCTTGGTTTGTGCATCTTTGCCTCCAAATACTCAGTCTAAAAATGAAGGAACCACTTGAGGCGTTCAGTTTTCATAAGTTGTTTTTGTATGTCTGTTTGGAGCGTTTCTAGACCATGACTGGCTTTTGTGTTGCACGGTTATCGTGGTTTTACTTTGAGCAGGCAGGATATGTTTTAACACTGAATCCGTAGATTCAAGAGCTTGTGTGTAGTTTGGTCCTGGAACTGCTTGAGTTTCAAAGGACTGTTCATCTGTCAAAACAGTTTCCTCCTTTCTGTCTCTCTTGAGCACCGGCTGATCAATCTCAAAGAGTGACTGCTGAGTTATCACAGTCTAATTTTGACTGTCTCGTGCAGGAGCTTGTAATTTCTGTCACCGTTCCTACATTGCTTGAGTACAGTCACGTCACAGCTTGCCTTAGTTGCTGAAGGATGTTAATACTTGAATGTTTTAAATGATACCGTTTTATTATTTTTGATTGTTGTAGATGTAGAGAAAAGTTATTGTTTACATAGAGGCAGACAGGTCAGATTATAGATGTGTAAGGATGGAAATGTGCGAGTGCTCTTCTAAATGGACTGTAACATTGTTTATCTGTGAGCCTGTCTGGTATTGCTGTATAATAAATGTTTTTAAAGATGCAGACAGTACATCATTGTGTTTGGAGGGTGATTAAATTGCGACGTATAGATGCTCAAGCAAAGAAACTTTGTTTGTGATTGAATGTGGTGTCTTTATCTGAATTTGATTGTGGTCACCTGCTGACTGTACGTGGGGGGAAATCATGCTTTTCCATAAATACACAATTCAGAATTTCAATATCTAGTTGACTTGATGCTGCGTACCTTAAACAAAACATGTTTTCAGCAACATTTAGTACCTGCTCTGTAAAAATCCAACTTTCGTTTTGTCATAAAATTCTATTCTAAAGATTGATTTAATTAGTTAAAGTTAACATTACATAGGATATTAATGCAAGTGAATTTTTGGCCATTTAGTTTGAGCAACTTGAAATATTCAGCAGCAAAAGTTTTTGAGTTTCTCAACTTGTGATTTTTATTTATTTATTTATTTTTTACAGTGTGTGACTTGCTGTTTATGAGAAGAAATGAGGCTATAATAATATATATTTGTTCTGTAAAAAGTATGGCACTGGTTGCACATTAACCTTGAGAAGGACATTACAATTAAGGTCTTGTAAACTATTGTTCAGAAGTTTGGGGTTGGTATGTTTTTTTTTTAAAGGGGTCATATGATGTTGCTAAAAAGAACATTATTTTGTGTATTTGGTGTAATGAAATGTGTTTATGCGGTTTCACACGGTGGGCTAGAGTGAGCGGCGGCGGGTGGGCTTGAGAACGGCATGGCCGGTGGATTCGATGAAGGAGTGTCCAGCGGGCTTGCAGCAACCACATGTGACGACCCCCGGCTGGACTCCGCTTCGTCCACTGTGAAAGCCGATCCAGCGATCCACAGCGCGAAGTTAATGTATTTCCTCAGCGACCAGCACGGATCAGCTCCAGGCATGACGAAGCAGATATCGTCCTCTTTTGGAAGGCCAAACAAAGTAGTTTCGCTTTCACAATGAAACACACAGCGCCTTCACGACATGGCGGCGGCAACAACAATACTACAGCGAGAATAAAAGTTACGCCTTCTTTCTTTGCGTGAACATTTGGGTGGCGTTATGCAAATCTTCCCACATCGTGACGTAGACATGTGGGGGCGTGTTAGAATGAGCCGTTTTAGGTAGGCGTGGCTGACTCTTAACTTTTATAAAGAATATCTCTTTGGATTTGAGACTTTAGTCTTTGCAACTTTACAGATCTTCTTTATGCACCAAGAGCTTGTAACACTCCAAAGAGAAAGGAACAATTTAAATCGTCACATATGACCCCTTTAAAAGAAGTCTCTTAAGGCTGTGTATATTTGATCAAAAATACAGTAAAAACAGCAATAATATGAAACATTTTTACAATGCAAAATAATTGTTTTCTATTTGAATGTATTTTAAAATATAATTTATTTCTGGGTTGGCAAGACTGGGTTTTTAGCATCATTACTCTAGTCTTCAGTGTCACATGATTCTTCAGAAATCATTCTAATTTGCTGATTTGATGCTTAAGAAACATATATTGTCAATGTTGAAAACAGTTGCATTGCTTAATATTTTTTTATGGAAACTTTTATACATCTTGTTCAGGATTCTTTGAATAGAAAGTTTAAAAAAACTTTTTTATTTGAAATATAAATCCATTGTAACATTAAAAATGTCTTTACTGTCACTCTTAATTTAATGTGTCCTTGCTGAACAAAAGTTATTAATTTCTTTAAAAAAAAAAAAAATCTTACTGACCCCTGATTTGTAGCTTTGGGGGTTAGTACTGTCCCAGAGGAACAAAGAATGGTCTGTGTGCCCAAACGCTAGGGGCAGCGTCTGATGAAGTAATCTGAATGTGTGCACAGCCGGTGACTGTTGGGATGGTAACCGTGTTCCCCCTGAACAGCTCTCCTTTTCAAAGCCTTTGCACTTTGTTATGCATATTAAAGACTTGAGAGTTTTATTCAGCTCTGTTAGGGCAGTGGAGGTGTTCACCATAACAAGAGCACAAACCTTCACTCTTTCTCTGTAGGGTCTGTCTAAACCATTTTAAAGCCCAAATGTAACTTTGTGCACACTGACACATACAGTGTCATTTTTTTTTAAATAATGGGGTAATATGTGCCCTCTTGAGAATTTAAGGAAAATTTGGCTTTTATAACTGTAAATATGGTGTGCATTTGTTGAAAATTTAAATTTTAGGCGCGAATCGTTCTGGAATGAGAATAGAGATGAGTTTCAGTTCTGGAATGTGCTGATTTACCTCATGATCAGCAACGTTCGTTAGCACCTCCACTGAGAGAACATGCTCAGCAGACAGAAAGAAAGACTTTAGCTGATGAATGAGAGGATCAATGAATGTATGAATGAAAACATACAGAAAGGAACCCCCCCCCCCCTCCATGTGGCATTTTCACAATTGCATTGAACTCTTTGACAAATGGAAATGTTGGTTCCACTTTAAGTTCAGTTTGGACAGTAGAAATTCATTCATATTTTTGTCATTCATCATTACAGAGGGTTATTTTGATTTCATATTCATCAGGGCTATGAGAATGAGCAGAGAGCTTTCGAACTGTATTACTTCTGTGTGCAAAATCAAAACTCTTTGCTCTGAACATAAATGAGTTGTTATTGCAAAATTGTAAAATGCAACAGCAAAGGCAAAAAAATTGTTTTAGTTTGCATTTTTGTGTTTGTACGTCAAATGAAGAGATGTGATGATTAGACTTGGTTTTCATTGCCCCGCAAAGATAAACAAAACAGAAGCAGAGAAGTAGGCTAATGCAAAGGCAAACCTTTGTGCTAATGATGTTGGTTAATATTCATCCAAATTATGCTTGAGATCTGAGTGTTAAGCCAGATCCTTGACAGTTGTTGATGTAAGGCATTTGCGAACATCACACAAATGAACGAGGGAATCTCCGCATTCCACCTGGAAACTAACATCTCTTCTCAACCATCTGAGAGCCGTAAAGCTGAATCACGGTCAGCCAGGCGCCAATTGTCTCAAATGAGTTCCTGTCCAGCTCTGCTTATCTGTACAAGAAACACCAGGAGAGAGTGATTTACCAAACCACCTCCAGGGTCGATAATAATAATTAATTCCCTTACAAATGAGTTAATTTCATTACATTGATCTTGAGAGGAAAGAGGAAAGACAACTTCATTCAGACTTTAATTAACATATTTTTTTATGTTTTTGAAAGAATCCTGTTGCGCTCAAGGCTGTATTTATTTGAAAAATACAGTAAAACAACTTCTGAAAGTAAATTAATGCTAAGTAAATTTTATTCAGTGAGGAAGTATTAATTTGATCAAATGTGACAATAAATACATTAATAATGTTACAAAAGATTTCTGTTTCATCAAAGGATCCTAAAAAAGTATCATGATTTCTAAATATTAAGCAGCAAAAACTTCAACACTGACAATACAAAGAAGCATTATTAGTAATTGAGCACCAATAATAATGAATAATTGCTTTTCTGTAAATGATTGATTGAATTTCACTGATCATGTGACACTGAGACCGAAGTAATTGCTGCTGAAAATTCAGCTTTGCATCACAGGAATAAATTACATTTTAAAATATAATAAAGCAAAAAAAAAAAACAGTTTCATAAATTCTAATAATATTTCACAATATTACTGTTTTTACTCTTTTTGGTCAAATAAATGCAGCTTTGTGAGCATAGGAGATTTCTATCAAAACTGATAGTTTTCCAAACTTGTAATATATGTATTTAGTTTTTTGTTGTTTATTGCTTGTGTTGCATTGAGGATATCCAAATAGAATTAGTTTTGGTATGTGACACATAATTATGTCTGGATGACACTGCAGAAAAAGAGTTGCCAGTATACTTTTAGCCATAATGAGGCTCTGAGAACAATATCATTTCAGACAGACTGATGAGATTGGCCAAAATGACTCAGATGTCTGGCAGTTAATGTGTAACTGTAGCCCCTTAAATCAAAAACACACCAGCTGTGGGTGATTTCCTTTGACTGTCATGAGCGACCGTCTTGTATGTAACATTGAAGTGCCCTCGGAGGTTCCAGCTCCAACACATCCCTGCAGAACTATCGCTCGAAGTCTCAAATGTTCTTACAAACCGCGAATGACGCAAATGCTTCAGGTGCCAGCTCTTAATGGAAGCCTTTTATGTTTTCACTTTTTCTCAAGTCTTTCATTTTGTACCTTAACCTGTAATTAATGTTTTTACACACTCATCTCGGCTGCTGAGAGTGCTAATGCACGCCTACAGTCATTGAAAAGGGACGCTTTTCGAAGGCTGTAAATGTTATGTAGGTATTGTGTGCCTTGTTGTAAGAAAAATAAACAACCCTCACAGTGTTTTTACATGAAAGCTTTCAGGTGTCAGTCTGAAACTGGCAATCCCAGTAAACCGTTAATTAGCCTTCGTCACATGTGCACAGATCCTGTGGATGTTTTGCATGTAAACACTTTATGAATGCATATCCATTACTGACTGCATCAGTGACCTATGTGAGAAGAACACCTATAAGTTTGTAAATTCATTACCAAATTTGTGCTTGGCCTCCAAATAAAATTCCTTTACCTTCTGTCTCTTGTGTAGGGAAAACACATTTTAAGCATGTTGTTTTGCCTGAGCTTCCTGAGAGGTAACTTTTATGTTGAAGATATTGTAAAGCATTTAAAAATCCACTTGGCCTCTGTAATGTGAATGTATTTGAGTTTGTCTTGAATTAAAGGAATAGTTCAGCCAAAAATGAAATTTGCTGAAAAGTTACTCACGCTCAGGCCATCCAAGATATAGATGAGTTTGTTTCTTCATCAGAACAGAGTTGGAGAAATTTAGCATTACATCACTTGCTCACCAATAGATCCTCTGCAGTGAATGGGTGCCGTCAAAATGAGAGTCCAAACAGTGGATAAAAACCTCACAATAATCCACAAGTAATACACACGACTCCAGTCCATCAATCAATGCCGTTTCTGGCCAAAATGTTGGATAGCCTTAGGGTGAATAATTTTTCAGCAAATTTTCGTTTTTGGGTGAATTGTTCCTTTAAAGAGTCACTTCAGCTTTCCAAAATACATTTAACCGAATTAACATGTAAATTACGTCCTTGTTGTCAAGCACTGACATTCCTGTATAACACATCAAAAGCTTTTCGGTCTGTCAAGTTTCAGTCTCATAAGAGGCCAATTTAATCATAGCAACAGATATAGGCTCACTGTCTTCTCTGCTGTGTGCTACAGGTATATAACGGCACTGGCAGATTCTGAGGACGAGGAAAGTGACGATGACCGAAAGCCACTGCAGGAACCAGTGGATGAGCTCACGGCCCTGCTGCGGAAAGCAGACCGACTGCACAGCTGTAACGGGGCAGAGAAAGCACAAGGCCTGAATGCTCTGCTGGAGAGGAAAGCAGAGGTATGCAAACTACAGCTCAAAATTGGGGTCAGTATAATTTCCTTTAATGTTTTTGAAAGAAATTAATACTTTAGTTCAACAAGGATCCATTAAATTGATTAAAAGTGACATTTATAATGTTACAAGTGATTGTAACTATTTCAAATAAATCCTGTTCTTTTTAACTTTCTATTCATCAAAGAATCCTGAAAAAAATGTTCACCGTTTCCACAAAAATATTAAGCAGAACAGCTGTTTTCAAGATTGATAATAATAAGAACGAGCACCAAATTAGGAATTTGAGTGAAAACTCAAATAAAACTGTTATTTTAAATCAAAATAATGCTTCACAATTTAACTTTCTTTTTTTACCAAGTTTTGGTGAGCATAAGAGACGACTTCAAAAACATTTTAAAATCTTACTTACCCCAAATTTTGGTGTACAGTGGCTTCTGGTTTATTAGTAGAATGTTTTATTAACACGCGTTATGTATGTGCTTACAGTTCGATCAGAAGTGCCAGTACCTTTGGCGGTTGTCCAGAGCCTATGCAGATGCACATGATTTTGCTGTAGACCTTGCAGAGAAGAAGAGCTGCGCTGAGAATGGTAATCACAGCTTTTATGATTACAGGTTGACATTTATTTATAAATTGCAGACATTTGTGCCAGAATTGAATAATTTGACATAGTGGTTCAAATTTAGTGCTTGCTTTCGACTACCATGAAGTAGCATTGAAAAATAAAATAATTAATTGCCATATAATTCAATTGATTTAAGATTTGTTTATAGCCTAATTATTTTAGAACCATCTTGACTTATTCATGAAAACACAACTACCACTAATTGTGAAGAAGACAAGTGTTGTCTGTCTTTAGGTTATGAATGCCCGTGTGCCCTGTGTTTTGCTCTTAATCCATCTGCACTCTCCATTGTCTTTCTGTTCCGTTTCTTCTTCTCTCACTGCCAATTAAATGTAACACAATAGCAGCTTGGTCCATGTGTGTATGGAGGGACAGGATCAACTAGTTCAGTTTCCGATCTTTTTTTTACTATAACGCCTTTATAATTGCTGTTCTTCAGTCACTTCTCTGTATGAAGGCTTTAGTGTCAAAGTTTGGAAGCAGGCCAATTATCACTTCTATTTAAATCTTTAGAGGAAGTCTCATTAGTCCAGCTGTGAACTGGTGTATGATCATCTTCTGCAAAATAAACCTTTCAATTTTTGTTTTATTTAGGACTGAAAACACATTGGATGCTGCTGGTCTGTCACGTCTTGTTTATTTTGTTTACATTTTTTTATTTTAGGAAAAAAAGTGGGTGAAGAGGCAATTTCCTTCAATCCACAGTGCGCTGAAGGTCATCAGTGGTAAGTTCATGTTAATATTAAATAAATTTGTTGTCCAGTTAACTAGTACTTTTGACTTAAGGTATAATTAACCTGTTGAAACTGACTATACAAGCTAATTTCCAGTCTTTCACAAACCTATTACTGACACCTTTTGGCATAGCTTAAACTTTACTGGAGTTTGTGTGGCTTCAATATCCTCAAGTTGGTTTCAAGAGGTTTTCCATTATTCGAGAGCTTTTTCAGAAATCTGGCCCTCATAAGTAGAGAAACACATTTGCATTCTTGTTTGTAGCACCTGGGGTCTGGTGTGTCTGTGGGTCTCTGAATGTATATGTGGGTGTGTGTGTGTGTGGGTGTCTTGCACCGGAGGTGTTTTTCAGGCTTGCCAGCTCCTCTGGATATGCTCACTCATCTTACAAAACCCTCTTGATAGCATCACCACACCCCAGGAATGTAAACACATGCAAAGACAGCCCCAAGCTAACATATAAATACACATGCACAATCGCACACACCTACTTAATTGCTTAGTTTTTGTTGCAATTTTAGTGTATATACACTAGTGTTCAAAGGTTTGGGGTCAGAAAGGTTTTATTTTATTTTTTGTTTTATTTTTATTATTTCTTGTTTTTATCAACATATTAGAATGAAGGATCATGTGACACTGAAAACTGGAGTAACGATGCTGAAAATTCTGTTTTACCATCACAGGAATACATTTTAAAATGTATTTAAAATTGTTTTAAATTGTAAAAATATTTAATTGTAAAAATCACTCTTTTTACTGTATTCATCAATGCATTCATACTGTATTAATTTATTCATCATACTCCTCAATGGTGAGCAAAAGAGGCTTCTTTAAAAACATGAAAAAAAAATCTTACTGACCCCAAACCTTTTAATGGTATTTTTAAGGCATATTTTGTCATTGCATTTAAAAATGTAGTGGACTGACTGACATGATATGTGGATGCTTTTGTGCATGTCCATCTGATATTGTTGATATAGTTTTGAAATGTGAGAAACAGACATTTCCTCACATTGAAAGACACATGATTGCTTCATAGCTTCATGTATTGCATGATGAAACGTATCACTTAACGCATTATGAAAGATTCATATCATCAGAAGTCATATCCTGCCTAATCCAAGCACAGGGCAAGCTGCCTGCTAATTTTCTTTTAGTTGAAAGCAGTTGACTGCAAGATCAATTTTGGCTCCCTTTAATTTAAATCTTTTTGAGCTGTAATGGTTTGACTGTTTTGATGGCAGTCAGTCAACTAAATATTGTAATATGAAGGGTTAATATGTTTATTGTACAAGTCTTACATATATTGTAATATGCATTCTAATATGTTTACGGTGTCTAACCCTGCATATTACAGTTCTTGTGAGCTGTGCAGCATATGTTTGCATTTGTTTTGGTACAGGTTGTCTTAATGAAGGTATGTTCACTGATCTCTGTGTCTGTATTTTGCCTGTGTAAATCCCTCTGCAATGCTTTCCATTCCCTCACAGACTCCAGGATTATCACACGGAGTGCAGAGGGTCGTTGTGACCTACACACACACACACACACACACACACACACACACACACACAGAAACATCATCTCAGTTACTGCTGCTCTTATCTGTGATGTGTCCTTGGCATTATGGTTTTCATTAAGGATCTGGCCTTCAGCTCTACTGAATTCTGTCCTGTCCTCAGTTCAGCAGCTCTGCTTAATGATGCAGTGTGTGAAGGATATATTATAAGATACAGTTTTATAACCATTATTCTTGTATCATGAGCAGAGCCAGTTCCATTGTACGTGAAATTATTCTTTTTTTTTTTTTTTTAATATATATTAATTTAGTAATTTAATTTCAAATGGATTTTCAAACCGTTCAAAAAGTTTGCGGTTGTTTGGGGTAAGATTTTTAATTAGGGATGCACCGGTTCCTGCAGATTTTCCAGTACTCGCCCGATACTGATACTTTTATTTTTGGTACTTGCCGATACCGAGTACCGATACCAATATTTTCATTGCATTTGTAAATTTTTAAAATATTGGGTACAGAAACCAAAAGAGTATGTATAATGTTAGTTGGTTAACTTCATTTATCAAATAGATACAGTCAAACCAAAATTTATTCAGACACCTTCAACATTTCTCACATTATCACAGTTTATTCGTTATAGTTTAGAAAATGATAATAAAATATGACAAGAACTCAGAGTTAAACTGTCAGAACAAATTCAGCTTGATAATGTCAGATAACTTCGATAGAAAGCATGTAATGGATTACAATAAACCAAAAATTATTCATACAGCTGTCAATATTTACACAACTATCAATACTTTGTTGGGTGACCCTTAGCCTTAATGACAGCATATAGTCTCCTGGGCATGCTGTCATCCAGGTTCATGCAAACCTGAAATTCTGTTTTTTCCCAGACTGAATAATTTTTGGTCCCAAATTTGTATCAATTTTACTGGTAGTCCACTGTATGAAGAATTTTTGGGTATGATTTGTCACAGTTCTTTATTTTGCTATCCTCACTTACATAAATTAACTATAGTGTCCTGCACCCACTAGTAAAAAAAATATCAAAAATTATATCTGGTTTCTGAATAATTTTTGGTTTGACTGTATATCCTTCTCTTATTTTCACACTTAATTATGCCCATTAAAATGTATTTTACAAGTTTTTGTAACTTTCACTGTTCATTTTTTGCTCTATGGTACATCATCTTTAATTTAATAGCATAAGAGCAGCGGCTTAGTACTGTAATCACGC